CGCAGCCAACAGGGCCGGGGTATGGAGGACTACTGGTTTTATAGACTAAAAATGGTAATAGACAAATGTATGAAATCAAGTATGCAGTTAAAGAAATGTGCATTGCACAGAATCCTATGTAACTTTATTAACTTACACGTAGCGTAAGTTATAGTTATAGCAAATGTGATTTTTTTTGGTATGCTTTATAATTAGAGAAGAAGATGGCTGCTGATTAGTTTTTGGGAAAGACAGAACCATCCGTTTCGGAGATACGAAAAAAAGTACAATAAATGTCAAATTCCAAAGAAAGATCCAAAAACATTTTACTTTAGAATTGACTACATTTTTGCTAAGAAGGACCATTAGGTGGTCCAAAAAGATCATTACAAGTAATTAATTATTGATTCCAATACAAATATGGATTCTTGGTAGACAGGTAAACAGTTAGACAAAGAAAGATATATATAATAGATAAGCAGAGATAGATAAAGAGAAAGAGGAGAGGAGAGATGAGAAGAGACAAGTAAGCAAAAAGAAAAAGAGACAAATAGATAAAGAAAAACAGAGAGAATGAAAGAGATAGGCAAATAAGCAATAAGGATAGACACATAGACAAATGGTCAGATAGATCATATACAAATCAAGTGATATGTAACGAACCTTATTTTGTAAAAACTTAAAATTATGTAAAGGTTTCATACCCCTGCCCATTGCAGTAGGTTGTGTAACCCTGGCGGGTACCGTTAAGGACCCAGTATAAAACCAGGTGCAATGGGCTTAGTCGGGGTTATTTTCCGTACAGTCGTCGACTGGAGTTATTGTACATATTATTGTATATATTATGCAATAAAGAAATTATTAAGTAGAAAGTGCATTATCAATACCAAGGAAAGAACCAAAGGTATCCGGAGGAAGGTGTGTTGTCTATACCGTATATAAACCCAAGTGTCCGAAGTAAACGGTCGTGTTCCCGCAACCAAATACAATTCACAAGTTATTATTATTCATCAAATTGATATAAACTAGTGGGGCACATGACATCGTGCCTTAAAGCAAATCGCTGGAACTTCCCCTACCAAAAATTATTATTTTTTTAATGATTAACATTTTTGAAAAAACTTTACTTTGAAAATATTAGATTTTTGAAAAACTATAAATTTTTGACAAAAATTGACGTTTATGAAAAAAAAAGACTTTGAAAAAAAATATTTTCTTTATTATAAAATATTTTGGAAATTCTGAACTTTTTATCAAAGTAATCGTACTGCTTTAACTGCATAGAGAAAATATCGAAGCGCGTAAGCGCCGCGTCGCCGTCTAACGGATAAACATTGGTACGGAACCCATAGGAATATTGTTAAAAACTCTATAAAATATCTGATAATTTGGTGTGCATATGTTTAATGATCATTTTTGACCGCCAGATGGCATTTATGAAAACTTGATCAATTCTTCATCTTGTCAATACAAGTAAAATGTTTTTTGAATTATTAAAATCGGACGCTCCGTTCTCTTAAAAACAGTGTCACCATTTTTGGCACTTTTTGTCCCGTATCTTCGGAACGGCTAGACCTGCCTTCACCAAAAACTAAACAGAACGTCTCCTTATCAATATGAATCGAATGTTTTTTAAATAATTCGAATCGGTTGAACCGTGTTCTGGTGAAGAAATCGTCGACGAAAATTTGTATCCGAACACATGCATCCATTACACATACACACACGCACACACATACATCCATTTTTCTAAGGTATGCCAAAATGTTCAGAAACCTCTGAAACGTAAAGATATATCAAAATTTTCGTTTTCGATTTTTTTGCGATTACTATAACATTCCCTATGGGAAGTTAAAAAGTTCATGCAAATTGCCTTAAAGCCACTTACACCTAGTTTTGTTTATAAATTCGAAATTTGTCTTTATCTCATGGAGACCTTTTAAGCGAGTACCCACATGCCATATTTGACGTGACAATTTTATAAGTTATATTGACCCGCTGTACTACATACGTGTATAGTTTGTATATAGCTGGTTTGTGCATTTATTTATTAGAACTCTTGTAACTTCTAAACCGTTTGTCTAATTTACATGCAATATTTAACAAATTCGTTCAAAATTAAATAACTTATAATACTGTCTAATATCATTTTAACCTAAAGCAACTCGGTATACTTCAAAAACCATTAAAAACAAAAATTGTCCCAAAAATCATCGATATTTTGGTATATGAGTGCATTTTATTACTAATAATAATATTTTTTCCAATTACCTTGGTGGTTCTGCCCTGTCCTTTGCAAGTAACATCACTTGTCCCAATTCCTGGTCGTTTATTCTTTTGGGTAAATTTTGGATTTGCCAAAACCGTCTTTTTGTCAAAACTGTCGCTGGAGCAGTTCGAGGAAAACAAATCTGTTGGTTGCGTTTGAGGTTGATCTAACTAAAAAAAATTTAAAAAAATAGATAAACGAAATAATTATTAGTAAACATTATTTGCAATATATCTTTTACCTCTTGGTCCAAATTATTCAAAGGCGTCGCCACTGAAATATCAGCCAGTGGTTCAAATTCCATCAAAGTTTCGAAATCCAAAGTTTTCATTTGAGGCTTGACACTGATAAAAAATAACAATAATAACAGTGATCATTTAACATTTTAATATAATTTACTTTAAATAATTACTTTGGTTCTTCCTGTTCAGTGACGTCACAACACAATGATTTTTTGGAGGGGCAATGAAGAACTTTCTTAAATTCATCTTCACTTTCTTGCAACTTGGTGATGGCTAAAACATTCAAAATTAGCAAAAAAAGTATTTCATTTTTAATTTATCGACTTACCTTGTTCCTTCTCCAACTGCACCAGCATCCTTATATCCAAGGGTTGAATTGACGAATTCATTTCAAAGTTTCAAAATTTATTTAACATTCACAAACCACAAATCACATCACATCATCCTCTACACCACTGTTCAAAATCGCTTTCCATATAAAATGCCTTGTTTAAAACACCACAAATTTTCCAAAAAAATTAAAAATGAGTATTTCAAAACGTCCGAAAACGATAACTTTGTATACCCCTCGAAAAATGTAAAATTTTGGACCCCTGGCCAAAAATTTTAGGAATTTATTTTGACATTTGGTTGTTTTGTTTTAGGGAAAAATAGATAGAATTAACCAATAATTTTGTATTATTTAATTTGTTGGGATAATAAAAAATAGGGTAAAAGGGTAAGGTGAGAAAAAAGGATAGGGCTATACATTATTACTGAGAAAGAAAGAGTAAGACATATGGATAAAGACATCTGAGATATCACTTGTGATTTTAAAATTTAGTTTAAATAAATAAAAAAGAGTTGTTATAAGTCCATAGCATAATTTAAAAAAATGTATTATTATTATTATTTATAAATATACAAAACTCTTAATCCATCTACATAATAAAATATATAAATATATTTATAAACAGGATTCTACGAATCATAATTATCCTAATATATTTGTTTGACAAATTTGAAAGTGTAAAAATTTTGATTAATACACAAATTGCACAATTTGGAAATGGCCTTAAATTTAATTATATACATGTATAAAAATACTAAATACTAATTATATAGTCTAACTATATTATATTAGGTACACGTAGCATTTTTCAAAAAAATTGCAACTTTTTTTTTGGCAAGATTAAATTTTTTTTGTGAATTTGGTATTTTTAGGAAATCTAAATATATTTTTAAATAATACTTTATATTAACCCGTATTAACCCTCAACAGTTTTTTATTTAAAACTAATGATAATATTTTCTTGTAAATAGTGTAAATAGTTTTATAATAATAAAATTAAAATGCAGAAAATAATATTAATTAAAAAAAAATAATAGTTTGACTAATTACTATAAAGTCTGATGAAAGAAAGAGATAAACATATGTTTTTTCAAGAGAGTGAGCGAGATAACGATATCGTTGCCTTCGCTCTTGCTCTTTAAGATATCATAATTTATTTTAATTTATTATTGCTATAAAATATAAAATGATGTTTAAAATTCTAATTGTGTTGAAAAAATGCTGAAAGAATTTTAATATTTTTTTTTTTAATAAATTAAGTTAAAAGAGTGTAAAGAAAATTAGACAAATAGATTACTACTACAAAGTCTGGTGAAAGAAAGAGATAAAAGTACGTTATTTTCAAGCGAGCGAGCGAGATAACAATATTATTGCCTTCTCCCATGTTTTAAAAAAAACTAATTCATGTTTGTTTTAAATTATTTCTATAAAATATTATAAACAAAGTCTAAATTTCAAATGTAATGAAATAAAAATGCATGAAGAAATATAATTGAAATTGAATTAAAAATAAATTAGACAAAAAGACTATTACTACAAAGTTTGGTGAAAGAAAGAGATGAAAATACGGTATTTTTAAGCGAGTGAACGAGACAACAATATCATTGTCTACGCTCACGTTTTTAAAGAAATTCTGATTTATGTTTGTTTTAAATTATTTCTAATAAACAAGGTCTGAAATTTTAATTGTAATAAAATAAAAATGCAGGAAAAATTATATTTGAAATTAAAATTAAATTTGAAAAAATGACGATTACTACAAAGTCTGATGAAAGAAAGAGATAGAAATACGTTATTTTCAAGCGAGCGAGCGAGACAACAATATGATATGTATAAAAAAAAGAAATTTATATTTGTTTCAAATTATTTCTGGAAACTATAAACAAAGTACAAAAATTTAATTACCTTTAAATAAAAATGCAGGAAAAAATAAAATTAAAATTAAATTAAAAGTAAATTGGACAAAAAACCCGGTGAAAGAAAGAGATAAAAATACGTTATTTTCAAGCGAGTGAGCAAGATAACAATATCAATAAGTAGTGTAAGACAGAGACGAATATTTGATAATATTGAATAATATTAATTTAAGTTCATAATTATTATATTATTTTATGTCCAAAAATAAAATCAATTTAACTAAAAAAAAATCAGACTTTGCACTATATATAGTACAGTGGGCTAATACGGGTTAAATCCTATAAAAACAGTTGCACCATAAAATATATTTGTTTAAAGAGTTATTGTAGTTATAAAAAATTATATAAATCATATATACTCAAAAAATATTGCATTGTTATTTTACCTCATAATTTCGTTTCTTTTGTTACGTTCGCGTTACGTACTTGTTTCATTCTTAATATTAACATCCTCATGTAATATAAATTCAAGTTCAGGAAAATATTCTTCAAAAGTCACATTTATCTAAATCATCGCAGGACTTTGATATTCTTGACCTGGAATGTAAAATTGTATTAATGTTTTATAACATTTACATGTGCCCATAATTATGAAAGTGGTCTAAGTCAAAATTAAAAAAAAATGAGTTTATCCGTTATTTCATACCACATTAGTTTATACTAAATATATTCAATGTAATTTTTACGAAATTGTCAAAAATGAACCATTAGATAGTGGTTGTAATTTCAACATTATATGGAATTCATTTAGTGTTAATTGATAGTGGTCTAAGTCAAAAATTTTTGGTATCAGGTCATTCCTTTCTACCAAATGAAATGAAAAATCAAAAAAGCAAATTCCTTATACAACCCTGAGCATTATTATGAATTGATACAAAAGTGCAGAAGAAGCAATACATTTTCGATAAAGCGAATGTCGCAGCCGGATTTTATTTCAACCAAATCATTAGAAGATACAATAACAAGAATAGTAAAAAATACCGCGGGCGAATCTGTCTCTTGACTACAAATTCAATGGATGAGGTTCTTAAAAAAATGAACCTTATAAAATTTTTTATGTTTTATAAAACTTCTTTAGATGATTCTACATTTCACGTTTTGGATCTTTCACCTAAAAGAGAAAGACGAAAAATATACGGAAATATTAAATTACTTCCATTATACACCAGCATTAGACCAGTATCGGAAGAAAAACATGAAAATATTATGAGTTTACTACCGTACATCCCTCCAGTTTTTCAGGAACATTTTACGAATCTTAAATACTCGAAATAATGATAAAATTATTGTTTCAAATAAAACTCTAAGTTTTTTATTGCTTTAAGTCATTTATAGGACATTCAGTTAATTTTGAAAATGGTCTAAGTCAATTCAAACTTTAAAAACAATATTATCGTATGAAATTCACACAAAATTTCATATCCATAATAAATTTCCATTAATTAAGACTAATAAAATTAAAAATTAAAATGTCGCATAATGTTAAAATATTTTTTCAAATTTCAAAATTTATTCAAATGCAAATCATTAAATATCTCGAAACAAGAAATATATGACTTAGATCACTTTCATAATTATGGGCACATATAACAGTAAAAAATATATTATAAAAAATAAAAGCTTGAATGAATAAATGAATTTCTTTTTTCCTATGAAGCGATTTTATAACTATAAGCACTCATGTTGATGAAATTACTATGGAACCATTATGAATCGATGGATTATACAAAAATATATGAAATTATAAAAATACTTGTTAAACAATATGCTCACCTATAATATTAAAAATTGGTAGTAATCGCCGAATACAACCTCTTAGCCCTTTTAATATATCCTCCACTGCCTCTAACCTCTTCAATATCTCGACACATATCAAAATCACCATCAACATCACCATCCTCTTGACCAATACCAGCATGATAAGCATTATCAGCAAAACCAAAACCATTATCATTGTTACTATCATTACCATAGGTTCCACGATTGGAACCAACATCAGCAATCGATAAATCAGTCATATCGCTATCACTATAATCACCTTCACCGGGTGATATAATGTATGTACTACTTCTACTCAAAGCATTAGTATTATTAGCATGATCATAACCGACACCATGATTTGTATGATTTGTGGAATTTGTAAAATTTGTAAAATCACATCTCGAGCACCTGTTGGATGCTGTTGGAAGTTCTGTGGGGGGTGCTGTGCCTCTTCGGAGAACCCTCAGGGTGACAGTACCTGTTCGTACTTTTGCAAAAACTGCAGTCGCTTGGGTCCTGGTGAGGCCACTTAAGGGTACTGTGTTAACTGACAGGATTTCATCACCTGAAATAAAAATCCATGTATTATCAGTATCCGGTAACAGCACGTTTAGACTAGGGAATGCAATACCGGTATACTGGTATGCCAAATTACCGGTAAACCGACCTATTTTTCGGCGGTATTTATTCCAAAAATACCGGTATTTTCGGTATTTTTACATAAGCGCTATTTGATACATAATAATACACTAAAGTTTAAATTTCTCGGAAAAAATTTATCTTTAAATTTCATAATCGCATAAACAGCTATATCTTCAAGTGATTCTATAAGATAAACAAATGTCAAATATTATCTCAACTCGTCATTAAACTGAATATTTATTGCTTTCCAAAGGGCTTCATATCGTGTTACAATAAATAGAATTGGACTGATAGATAATGATGTTTGTTTCATCTTTTGTAAAAATGTAATGGTTTTTTAAGTGATATTTGCGCCAAAATATTTTATATCATACAGATTACCCCTGCGTAATCTTTATTTTTTTCTAACTTTATACATAATAATTATGATAATTACTAAATATTTTTGCTTCTTATTACAATTATAAAATATTATTTTTCGAAAACGTTTTCGAAGTTTGAAAACACTATAGAAGCATCACATTGTTTTAAATAAAAATACTCAACAATTATAGTAACTTATTATTTATCTCGACTAAGTATCCGATCTTAAATTAGTATAGAAAAATTATTTTTTTTAAATATTGGAGATTATGCTAATTTAACACATTGGATACAGACAATACAGTTTAATCTGTAAATAATATAATGTGATCTTTTATGAGTTGTTGGTCTTTCTTACTCATAAATTTGTTTTTGGTGAAAAGTACTCAATAGTGATAAATAAAAAGTACTCAATAGTAAATTCCATATACTTTTGTTAACTTCTCGTAGGGTAAGTTATAGTAATCGCAAAAAAATCGAAAACGAAAATTTTTGCATTTTTCGACGTTTCAAAGGTTTCTGAATATTTTGGCATACCTTAGAAAAAAATAGATGTATGTGTGTGTGTGTGCGCGCGTGTGTGTGTGTGTGCGGATACAAATTTTCGTCCACTATTTCGGGAACACAGATGAAGCAATTTCAATAACTCAAAAAACATTCGATTCGTATTGATAAGGAGACGTGCTGATTAGTTTTTGGCGAAGGCAGGTCTAGCCGTTCCGAAGATATGGGGCAAAAAGTGCCAAAAGTGGTACCTCAGTTTTTAAGAGAACGGAGCGTCCGATTTGAAAAATTCAAAAAACATTTTACTTGTATTGACAAGATAAAGAATTGATCAAATTTTCATGAGGGCAGGTCTAGCGGTTTCGGAAATCTAGTAAAACAAGTAAAAAAAATGCCATTTGGCGGTCAAAAATGATCATTAGACATATACGCATCAAATTATTAGATATTTTATAGAGATTTTAACAATAAGTATAAATTTACATTCCTATGGGTTCCGCACCAATGTTTATCCGTTACACAGCGACGCGGCGATTACGCGCTTTATATTTTGTCTCTTTGCAGTTAAAGCAGTACGATTGCTTTGAAAAAAAGTTCAGATCTTCCAAAATATGTCAAAATAAAGAATTTTTCAAAAAAAGAGTAATTTTTTGTCCTATTTATAGTTGCTCAAAAATCATTTTTTTGTAGTATTTTTTTCAAAAATGTTAATAGTTTTTAAAAAAATAATAATTTTTGGTACGGGAAGATCCAGCAATTTGCCTTAAAGCACGATGCCTTAATTGCCTTAAGACAGAATTCCACTTACAGCTAGTTTTTTTCTAACTTTATACATAATACTTATAATTACTAAATATTTTTGCTTCTTATTACAATTATATTATTTTTCGAAAACGTTTCGAAGTTTGAAAATACTATAGAAGCACCACATTGTTTTAAATAACAATACTCAACAAGTATAGTAACTTATTATTTATCTCGACAAAGTATCCGATCTTAAATTAGTGTAGAAAAATTATTTTTTTTAAATATTGGAGATTATGCTAATTTAACACATCGGATACAGACAATACAGTTTATTATAATAATGTAATATGATCTTTTATGAGTTTTTGGTCTTCCTTACTCATACATTTGTTTTTGGTGAAAAGTACTCAATATACTCGATAGTGATAATGAATTAATTAAATTGGATATAATTTTGTTCAATTATTGTTTAAAAAAAATAAACTCATTATTTTATTTTATTGTTTAGTTGAATATAGTTGTAGTTGTATATACTTTTCTTTTATATTTGTCCTAGTAACTTTCAATTTTGTTCACGTTTGTTTAAGATAATAAAAATACCGGTAATTTACCGGTATACCGGTTTTAAAATGAAAAATTACCGAAATACCGGTATTAAAATTTTCCATCGGTATTGCATTCCCTAGTTTAGACTGCAAATTGTAAATAAATTTTCCTTATTACCTGTTCTGAGACATCCCTGTTTCTCGGCCTGTCCTCCTGGTAAAACAGTCTTGACATAAATCCCCATAGAGCCCTTCGGCGAATCAGAACCTCCTGCAATGGTGAAGCCTAAGGAAGGTCTTCCTGCTCCTTTTACAAACTGAACCCTCAACAATTCTGCGGGCCTAGAAATGACTTTAGGAACAGGTTCCTGGAGCCTCTGATCATATTTGGATGATCTATCAGCTAATCCTGATGATCCTGATCCTTGTTTGTTAATTCCCACATCGCAATGTTCAGGTATACTTTGGAAACTTCCAAAGATTTTGTTACCCTGGATGTTCCTGCTGTGTATTTTTCTTAATTGGTCTTTGGGTTTGTTATCAGATTCTTGGTTGGTCCAGGATAGTCTGTCCTGGTCTTTATTTGTTGTTGGAGTATTTTGGTTTGATGTTTCGCGACTGCAAAGTTCACATGGAAAAAACAAGAAACATTGATGTGTTAGTTACATACATGAAGGGTTAGGACATGTTTGGGGACAGTTAGTCAAAAAAATGTTAAGGCACAACATGTAACATAGATACATACAAACACATATAAATACATACTACTTGGACAGCGTCTACGATTGATCGATAGTGGTGTTTTGTGATAGTAGATTATTGGACAGAATATTTTAGGACAATTATATATAATTGGTAGCCAAAATTTAGTTACCATGATGAAGCCAATATTTACTTACAATAATGCAGCCAAAATAACACAAAAAATTACCAAGTCACCGAAACAAATATTTAAACGCATTGATTGAGAAATCTCCTACTGAAAGATTAACAAAAAAAATGGCCATACGATGTTAAATTATTAGAAAATAAAAAAAAGAGATAATTAATTTGAGATACACTCTATAAAGGTATTAAGACCAGCATATTGTCTTAAAAAATAACATACATTTTGATAGGCAATAGATATATGCAAAAAATAATAAAAAATAATAGCCAATATTTAGTTTCTACTGAAACTGTTACTTATTTTATTATAAATAAATATTGTTTTTATTATTTCCAACTAACTTTCTAATGCCAAATTGCAGTCCAAGCAGTATTACACATACAACACGTTTTTCGCAAAACACTCTTGCTTTTACTAACTTTTTGTTTTATTTAAATTATGGCAGAAATTAATATTACAAATGATAAAACTACTTAAAATTGATTCAGGAAAGTCATGGCAAATATATAGAAATACTAAAAATATTAGGTTTATGTTACGTAACTAATACATAGAACGGAAAATATTAAGTTTCTATTATGTAACTAATATATAAAAATACGAAAAATATTAAGTTTATGTTACGTAACTAATATATAGAAATACAAAAAATATTAAGTTTATGTTGCGTAACTAACACATAGAACGGAAAATATTAAGTTTATGTTAAGTAACTAATATATAGAAATACGAAAAATATTAAGTTTATGTTACGTAACTAATATATAGAAATACGAAAACTATTAAGTTTATGTTACGTAACTAATATATAGAAATACGAAAAATATGAAGTCCATGTTACGTAACTAATATATTGAAATATAAAAAATATTAAGTCTATGTTACGTAACTAATATATAAAAATACGAAAAATATTAAGTTTATTTATTTATGAAACTAATAAATATTTATTTATTTATTTTTACGTAATTTATTATTACGTAACTAATAAAGTTTATGAAATTAAAAAAATTTAATGTTCGAAATTCAATTTGCCGATCTTAGGCCAATATTGGTAGCCAATATTTAGATACGATTTTGTGTACTTGAAAATTGTTTTAAAAATAAACGACGTAATAAATATTGCTAATGCTATTTGCAAGAAAAATTAGTATTACCATTGATGAAACTACTTAACATTAATAGAACAAACTCTTGAGCAAATATATATAGAGATACGTTTATGTTACGTAACATAAACAAATGGTTTTACGTCTAAATAAACTTATATATATATATATATATATATATATATACACGTTAAAATCACCATATGTTGCAAAAAAGTTACATTTCAAGTAAAACTAATATTTCATTTTTTTTAACGTAAATAATATAACAAAAAACTAACATTAATAATTATAACAAAAATACCAAACTTTCTATTAATTAACTATTAACAACAAAAAAAGTATTATTTATATTAAACGTATTGAAAACATTTAAAATAAATTGGATAATTATATAATTATTTATTTAATAAATATGGCAATAAATCAATGGCAAGTAGAGTTACTTATGAATAACGTTAAAATCCCAATTTTATTTTTGTGTCAACACTGGCACACAGATCATAATTTTTTAAAATTAACTAATTCATTCGTTTTGCCCATATATACGTATCTGTTACGTAACAGATGTTTTGTAAAATATTCGTTCTTGTTACATAACAAACGAAACTAATGTAACATTTATGTAATCTTCATAACTTACTGTTAAATTTTGAGTAATAAAATATATATTCAATGTAATTAACAATATGGCTTTTTTTTAATTTAATTAATAACAATACTAGATGTCAAATAAAATTACTAATTTTTTATATCGCTAATATATATATATATATATATATATATATATATATATATATATATATTAATATATTAATATAGCTAATTAATTGAAATTTAAAAATAATTTTAAATATATTAAAATAGATAAACAGTATAACATGTAATCAAGATAATCGATAATAATACTAATTTCCTAAAATGTTGAAATAAAAAAATAAACGGTCAACAACTATCAAAAAATAGTTTTTCAATTTCTGTTACATATTTATAACGTTTCTGTTATATAACTTAATAAGTAATTAGTCATTATAACTTATAACGTAGTTTTAGTAAAATTATGTAAGAAATTTGAAAAAAGGCTTTAATAAAATATTATCCTTAATAGAATCTTTAAGAAAACTTTAAATAAATTTTAAATTTATGCCACAAATGGGTCTTAAAGAGGTTTTGTTTCGTAACTGTAACGTTTCTGTTGCATTTTATGTAAACTAGTGTACACAGGCAACCGAGCCATAAAATTTTATGGTATAAAAATGTAAAAAACACAAAATTATATATAATTATTCCCTCGGTAGCATTTGATTCTTTGATCGATACCATCTCTTTCCAGGCAACTTTCTATAATCTTTGATACGATTACCTCTCTTATTAGAATAAATATATTTGTCATAAGAAAATTTACTTTTAACAAATTGGTTTGAAGAACCAAGTTCATTTTGCAAAATTGCAGTCAAATTTTTAACGTACGACGGTTTAGGGTCGTTGACTCTTTTAATAGACTTAGATTGTATCACAGGTTTAGGGGAATTTGTTAAAGATTTGGTATTAGGTGTTATTTGGTTATCATCGAACGGACTACAAGATGTTATTGTTGGTTCTTCCAACGTCATTGGTTCATCATTCTGATTAAAAACTGGTGCCAATACATCACCAGAAACACTATTCCTATTTTTATTATTATCATTTACATAAATGTCGTGCATAAAAGAGAAATCTTTATCGCCATATCGTACATAAAGATCACTTTTCGGTCTATACCAACGTTTTCGAGGCAACTTTCTATAATCCTTAATTGCATACCTTTGTAAATCATCATCATTGTTATCCTTAGAAGACATTATGGGTTCAGCCTGAGGTCTTTCTGGACTCAAAATCGCCTGAAGAGATCTTCGTTTCTGGTGACCGTAGTAGAACTTCTTCATGCCTGTTAGTTTTGCTGGAGAAGAACGTCTGCTGATGCTGGAAAATTGAAAATAATAAATATAAATAAATAATTAAATATATATATATATATATATATATATATATATATATATATATATATGTATATATCTTATATATTAAATTCTTCTGTAACTATGTATGAATGATTAATCCTCCTAAACTATAATTCGGATTTTCATGAATCTTCCTGAAGTTTGTTCGGGAAATTTTCTAGAATTTTTTGATTAATAAAAATATAGTTAGGTTGTAGAAATAAATGGAAAAAATTACAAAAAACCGCTTATCATTGTTCGACCTTGAAAATATTTGAGGCATGGTTTGACATTAAAAACAAATGACAACTGTCATTTGCCAAACATTTCTATTCACTTATAGGCTAAGGCAATATTAAAATATAATAAATTCATGATTATAAATAAGAAAAATCTAATGTCTACATTATTATTGCCGAAAAGCAGCTGAGATGTTCCAAAAATTAAAATAATATAAGATTTACAGTCAACATCTGACAGGTGATGCAGTCTGCGCATGCGTCTGTCAGTGATCGCACATCAAACTTAGCCTATAATTCACTTTGACAGATTATTATTTTTTAACTTTTAAATGCAGTCGTGTTTTGCCTTACTTTACTAAATCACGATACAAAAATAATGTACTTATTCAAACAATTATTTAGCAGTTTCATTGTGTCAAAAATTCATGTTTGTCATTGTATACGAAATATTTACTCAAGTCAATGGAGAGTTTTGGGTCTGAATATTTTTAATGTGCTCCAATTTGCATGAAATTTCAGAATTAGGTTCATCTTACTCTCAAGTTTAAAAGTGAAAATAATTTATACTCCTTTGCCACTTCCCGGGGGAACAACATCCCTTTTCAGTGGTGCAATTGTATCTCTTTCAAAATAACATCGGATAGCGATAAAAAGACTAATTAGGAGAGAAAAATTTTCAATAATGTTTTTCAAAAAAAAAAAATACTTTTCGAGTTACTGGTTACTGAATTTTTTTTTTTTTTTGCGTTTTTCATCGGTTTTTGCAAATATTTCTAAAAATATACATTATAACGAAAGAACAAAATTATATCAATTAAAATCTTAATAAATCGCTGTTCTATAAATTGTTCTAGGAACAATATTAGGCTAGATATGAAAATGGGGTTTTATAGTGCTCAAAATAAGCTTTAAACTGAGTACTTCTGCGTGTAAAATGAGTAAACTATCATGCAGATGCTTGCAATGTTTTTTCTCATTTAAATCAAATAGTTTATGAGTGAGTTTATGAACTTAAGATAAAGATAAGCCTATTTCCGACACACGTTTTTTTCCTCTCCATTTACCGCAATAATTTTGTTGATCGTAGGTTGAAAAGAGCACATGCGAACAGGATTTGATAAATTAATTCACTTCAAATATAAACTTAAATAATAATGTATATTGAATTATTGGTGAGAAAAATGTAATTTAGATATTAAAATTATTGAAAGCCAGTTAAAATATGGTACGAAATTATAAAAATAATGGGCAACATTATTGAAGCAATTATTTTGGGTAGAAAAGTCCAAGGTGTTAATGTACCTTTACCGCGAATGCTATATATTAATTCTTTCTGAATTTGTTATACCTTTTAAAAGACTTCAATTTTCAACACGTGTATCTTATGCTATGACCATAAATCACAAAGGCTGACGATGATTTTTTGTGTGATAAATTTGGAAAATCAATGTTTTAGTCGTGAATGAACAAAAAATCGTTCAATTTATACATCCACATCTACGGGTATGACTAAAAATATTATATAACCCTTATATGCAATACAATAAATTGAGCTATTGGGAATAAATTTATTCTATAAATTGCAGTGTATAATTTTTAATATACAATTTTATTGAACATATTTTAATATTTATTAAAGGGATAATTAAAGTGTTAACTGTGGGAATTGAAAATCATCATTTTATTTGAAGCAGTTCTACATTTAACATCACGCATATATTGGTGTAAATAGTAATGCGAAAAACGATAATTAGTATTTGTAACTGAACGGTAAATATTAGTATAGGATATTAAAAGAAACGTGGATGTGGGTACAGGACAACGTCTGTCGGGTCATCTAGTATAAATATAAATATAAATATAAATATAAATATAAATATATTTATATTTGTATTACATGGTACAATGGTAATGAGATTTGTAATTTACCTGTTGCATGATGCAAGTTTGGCAGGTGATGCTGCAAATTTTTTAACCGGTGACTCAATTTCAAAACTTCTATCGATATTCAATTTTTCTTTCTTGATCTGGACATCTTCAGGGTTAACATTAGGCTTCAAAGTGCCTCCTACAATTTTAGGAGCATTAGGATTTCTTCCACTCCGTACAACAGTTTCAGCATTGTCTGATCTACCATTAACTAAAATTTCCGGTTTATCCTCCAAATTTTTGATCCTCTTCTGGCTCTTGATGGTGATTTCGCATTGTCCAGGACCTGCACACAACCTCGACGACAAATCATCACTATCAATTACCTTGGCTTTGTGGTTCCACACCAGCATAGAACTAGTATCATCCGATTTCGAGAATAAATTCCTGGTGGCATCTATTTGGTCTTCGTATGATGTTTTGACTTTGTCATCAATGAAACTTTTTGCTCTCGAGTTGCTCAAAGCTATAGGAGTGTAAAGTTGTCCAATTTTTGGTACAGTTTTTTGTGCCAAGGTCCAATTTTGATCCTGGAACGACTTGGAACGATTTTGGAATGTGGAGAAACTCCCAAAATTACTAGAATAATTGTCACCAAATGTTTTATTTTTGAATAAAGTCGTTGTGGATTTGGATTGGAACAAAGTGTTACTCGTTCCGATTTTTTGGGTCATGGATGGAATTTTGGATGTGGAACATGATGCTTTGGTAAGATATGCGGAATTTAAGGGTGTTTTTGGGGTTTTCAAACGTGATATGACTATTTCTAGTTCTCCTGCTTGGTTTAAATATTCTCGGACGTCTTTTAAAGACAAACCGCGCATTCGGCGTCCGTTTACTTTGACCAGCTCGTCGTTTATGCGGAAGGAACCATTTCTGGAAAAAAAATTGGAACACATTTCAATATTTTTAACTTTCCGCAGGGTAAGTTATAGTAATGAGCCGAATATCTAAAACGCAAATTTTTGCATATCTTCACGTTTCAGAGGTTTCTGAACATTTTGTCATACCCCATAAAAAATGTAAGTGTGTGTTTTGTGTGTATTAAATATTTATAAGTTTATTATTAACTTCCCGAAGGAGAAGTTAATGTTTTATAAGTTTATGTTACGTAACTAATATATAAAAATACGAAAAATATTGAGTTTATGTTACGTAACAAATAAATTTTCTGAAATTGACTAATTTTAATGTTCGAGAATCAATTTGCCAATTTCAGGCCAATATTGGTAGCCAATATTTAGACACGATTTTGTGTACTGCATAAACAACGTAATATTGTTTTTGCCATTTCCAAGAAAAGTTAATATTACTATTGATAAAATTACTTATCATTAGAAACATTTGAAACATATTTATGTTACGTAACATAAACAAAGTCTAAATAACGTTAAAATCATGTTTTAACATCAGCAAAACGGTTACATTTTGAGTAAAACTTCAATATTTCATCTAATGCATTATTGTAACATACACGTTACAAACATGTAGCATTACGTAATAAACGTAACGTAAGTAATGTAACAAATAACTAACATTAATAATTATAACAAAAATACAAAACTTTCTATTAATTAACTATAATCAAAAAAAATATCAATTATAATAAACGTATTGAAAATATTTAAAATAAAATGGTCAATTATATAATTATTTATTTAATAAATATGGCAATAGAGCTATGCCAAGAAGAGTTACGTATAAAGAACGTTAAACTCCCAATTTTGTTCTTTCAAATCATATTTTTTTAAAAATCTACCAATATTTTATTCAATTTGCTAAATAAACGTATCTGTTACGTAACATGTATTTTGTAAAAATATTCGTTTTTGTTACATAACAAACGTAGCTATTGTAACAACTATGTAATCTTTATAACGAACTGTCACATTTCATTATTAATATATATGATTATAAATATGGTATATTTTTAATTCAAAGCCGAATATCTAAAATGCAAATTTTTGCATATCTTCACGTTCCAGAGGTTTCTGAACATTTTTGTATGTCCGCAAATTTTCGAGCGCACGGATCAACCGATTTAAACAATTCAAAAAACATTCGATTCCTATTGATAAGGAGATGTGCTGTTTAGTTTTTGCCAAAGGCAGGTCCAGTCGTTACGGAGATACGGAGCAAAGAGTGCAGAAAATACAAATCGAGTTTTTGAGAGAACGGAACATCGGATTTGTATGATCTAAAAAACATTCAATTTGTAATGATGGGCAGAAGTAGTAATTAGTATTTGGCAAAGGCAGCTCCAGCCGTTTTGGAGACATCGAGCTAAATGTGCAAAAATGGCAGTTTTTGAGTGAACTAAGCATCCGATTTGAATGATCTAAAAAACTTTCTGCTTGTATTGACAAAACAATTGCTTTTGAGGATAAAAAATTATTACATCTTTTTTTTTATTTTTCATAAAATATTTTTGTAATTTTGGATTAAAAATTGAAAAAATTACCCAGGCTAAGCACAGTCTAAGCGCCACTCTTGTACAAATGTTTACTCAAGTGCGTTTAGTTTGTTTGTGTACTGGAGCACTTTTCCAATTTTGTGAAAACTATAGCACAGTATAAGTGAAAATGTCGCACAGAATTGTTTGCAAATGCATTTAGACTGTGACTATACGGGAGCACTTTCACAATTTTGTGTAAATTAAGGCAACTATTTTTTTTTAAATGAATTCGAAATGAAATGACCATTGTTAATGTTCTGGAGATAAATTCTGGAGATTTATGATTTACATTTGATTTGTTCAGATATAATAAGATAGCAAAAATAATGAAAGTTACACTATTTGTAATAATATATTTGAAAACGTTTAAAATTTGTCGAATATTTCATTACGGTTCGGGAAGTTCCAGCAATTTGCCTTAAGGCCCTATGCCATACACCAATTATATATTATTCTACTTACAAGCTGGCAGGTGTGTTCTTCTCAATCCCGACAATCAAAATGCATCCAGTTCTTTGATTAGAACCAGAATTTGGTAAAAAACTGGAACCAGCATCAGCCTTTTCGACTAACAATCCGCAAAACTCATCATCTTTCACATAAATCCTTACACATTTGAATTCTTTTTCGTTTGAAGACACATGCAACAATCCTGTGAATAGATAAAAATGAAATCAATTCTATATAAATAAAAAATAAAGAAAATTTTTAAAGAAATAAAGGCGTGTAATCATTACCTTTTCTTAAAATTGTGCCAGTGTTGGAGATAGAAGTCGAGCGTACTCTATTTTCAAAGTTTTCTACAATTTCATCGACCACACCAGGTCTTACGACTGGTTCTTGCTGTTGTTCTGAATTGCAATCCTAAAAAAATCTTTATGTAAGTATATATTACTAGCTGACCCGGCAAACGTTGTTTTGCTAAGTAAGGTATATTCTAAACAATTTCTAGAGGATCAAAAAAAAATAATACTGTTAGTGTATCAGGATGTGCTGTTTGAATGCTATATACAATGAAGTATTATAAAAACAATAAACCCCATTAGTTTGTCTATATTTTGTCAATACAATCAAACTGGAAGTTTTATACACTTTCTATAGAAAACATAGTATAATCCAATCCGAGTCTTTTTTGGTCTTGGTCTTGTTTTTGTTTCAAGTTTTTCAGATTCTTTTTGGATTCTGGATTTTGTGTATAATTGTAAATAATACTCTACTGAGCTTATACAAAATTTTCAAATTTATGCGAGGAGAAATAGAAATTGAATTAGGTATTTCTTCTTTGACCTGCTTTTTGAAAATGAATTAAAGTAAATTTAATAAAAAGTATATATGTAAAGCAGGGCGAGGCACAAAGTTCAAATTTGACTTTGAGCAAATATAAACTATATTGTGAAAACCAAAACAATTATATAACAACAAATAACATATTTCAAACGAACAATTATCTGACTTCGTTCAGTAAAACTGCCAGCAATGTACAAATGTGCAACATTGTACAAATGTGCTTTTTTAATGTCTTTCAAAAATTTCTTATCTACACGTATTTTACAAAATAATTACATTTTTAACTAATGCTAAAAAACTACCAACGGAAGAAAATACTTTTATTATGGATTTTCAAAGATTACCGTTTATCTCCCGATAGCAAAGTCATAAAATTCAAGGTTATAGCTGGTTGTACATATTTTTCCCTCTACTTTCAAATATTGTTGTTAAACAATGCTTAACTTTACTGATTTGACACATCCGTCATGGACCTTTTTAACCATGTGCCTTCTTTTATTACTATCTATTATTCGATAAATTCTGGGAAATTATAACTGGGAAAATATTATTCGACAAAATGTCTCTTTGATCGATACCAAATTTAGGTTCCGAATTTAAATAACATAAATAAAAAATAATATAACTTAGAAAATGTTTTATAAATACCAATGAGTATATAATTATACAAATGAGATCTTTCAGAGTACCGCGTTTGAGAAAAATATGCCGAAAAGTGCATTTTTATATTAACATTTCGAAAAAAGTGATATTTTGAGTCTCTAGTAACACTTGCGATCCGTTTAATAACGTTTTTGTGTATAAATAAAACTACGAAAAAAACTACTTACTACAATTTGATCACAATTAAATAATATTCACGTAAAACATCCTATTAAACGTAATTGAACATCATCTGTCAAAAACGTTTGACATTTGACGTATTAGCCACCGTCCATTGTTTTATTCAAATTACGCTTCTAAAAAAATGTTCAAATTAAAAATGTAAAGTTTCTACGCGATTTTGAAATATTATCTCACCTTTACGACCATCTCTGGATTGGCACGAATTTTGCAACTGGCCAAATCGGTTTAGCCGTTTTCGAGTTTTACTGAATCAATTGATCGAGAGCTCTATTTTTATATATATGATAATAATATATTTGATATATTTAACTTACATCATCAGAACTTTCTCCCTCGACTTCCAACCTTCGTTCAAACTTATCCGTAACTCTCATTGGCACAGAATCTTGTTTTTGCACTTCATCATTATCCAAACCTGTAGAAGTCTTCTTGAGAGTCTTCAATGATGAAAACTCCATTTCCATCCTGGAAAAACTTGGTAAACTATTCAAGTTCTCGTGAAACACCACATCGTAACTCGGTTGCTTGAAAAGGATAGGTTGGTCCAATTTGTTCAAAGCCGTCGAATCGTTTGTGGTGTCCAGGAATAAATTATTCTTGCTGGCTGTTGTGTTATTCAGATTTATCGATTCAGAAGTGCTTTGAGTGGAGGAATTTCTGAGACCTAAGGAGTTGGATCGTCTTCTACGAATTGTACTACAAGGAAAAAATAGACACGGTTAGACAAAAATTTGGACGAAAGTTGGACTAAATATTTTAATGTGTGATTTTATACCTTGTATCATCGCTGTAGGATTTCCTGGTTAAGGTATTGCAATCTTGATCAACATTTTCTTCATCGGATGAAGAATGTTCATCGGCTGTGTCTCCTGTGTATGCTATTGGAGTTTTATCCAAATCGACATCTAGATAAATAAAATAGGTAAATAACATTTTGCGTCCATTAATCACTTGAGGCTTTTAGGGGAGGAGCAGTGCTGGATTTACAGAAGGGGCAGTCGGGGCTACTGCCCAGGGCGGCAAATTTTCGGGGGCGGCAAAATTTGGATAGTAAAAAAAAATCTATACATTATAATTAACTCATTTTTTTTAATAATATTTTTTTATTTCAAGAAATATAATTACCAAAACGTAATACGATTGAAATGCAAAATTTGGCTATTTTGCTAATATAAAGAATCGTAAACGAGCTGAAAATTTAAGAAAAATATCTTCTTCAGATATCGAGCACTCTTAAGATGACGAATTTGTGCACTTCCAAGCTTATAGCGCCAAAAAAGTGAAACTAGTGACGCATGGCATTGTGCCTTAAGGCAAGTTACCGAAACTTTCCGTGCTGAAAATTACATTTTCAGCACATTAAAATTTTTTGAAAAATGAAAAAAATTGAATTTTTGAAAATTGCGAACCTTTATTTATTAAATTTATTAAAATTGAATTTTATTTGAATGATAACGATTCCTATTGATGACGAGACGTGCTGATTAGTTATTGGCCAAGGCAGGTCCAACTTTTTCGAAAATACGGGCCAAAATGCCAAAAATGATTATTCAGTTTTTGAGAAACGGAACGTCCAATACCATTAAAAAAAATTACTTGTATAGACAAAATGAAGAACTGCTTAGTGGGAGGCAATTCTAGCGGTTTCGGTGATCCAATAAGAAAAATTTCGAGATTTGTAAAAACATTTGGCGGTCAAAAGTGATCATTAGACACATGTACATTCAAAAAAGTAATTTTTTTCAAAGTTTTTAAAACATTTTAATTTTAATTTTCGGTACGGGAAGTTTCTGCAATTTACCTTAAGGCGCGATTCCAAGCACCACTATTTATAGTATGTAATGCATAATGAATTTAAAATGAATTTTTATACTTTTATCTTTATATAAAAACTAAGTAAAAATCCAAGGATAGGGCGGCATTTTTGTCAGTGCCCCAGGGTGCCAAATTTCTAAATCCGGTCCTGGGGAGGAAGGTTTGTCAAAAAAATACAAAACATGACGCGGGGGAGTGAGGGGTCTAGTAAGATATCACGTGTATTTATTTTCAAAAACATCAAATCTTTCAAAAAAATCAAATCCTTCAAAAAAATCCCAATCTGTCAAAAAAAATGCCAATATTTCAAAAAAAAACCTAATCTTTCAAAAAAAATCCCAATCTTTCAAAAAAATCAAATTTTTCAAAAAAAAAACAAACTTTTTTTAAAGAAACCAAACTTTTAAAAAACATCAAGTTTTTCAAAAAAATCAAATTATTCAAAATGAACAAACTTTTTCAAAAAAATCAAACTTCTCAAAAAAATCCAATTTTAAAAAAAAACAAATTTTTGAAAAAAGGTATTTTTTTTTAAAAGTTTTGCAAAGGTTTTTTTAAATAATCTAGTTTTCTGTACGGGAAGTTGAAGCAATTAGCCTCAAGGCACGATGCCACGCACCACTAGTTTTGATTGCAAGAGTGATAAATATGTTTAACTTAAAAATATAAACTTTTTAAACAAATAAGATAACTTACTGTGTTCGTTCAAACCAGAGATGTTGGTCAAAGTCCTTATCGATGTGTTGAAACCTTCAAGTAAATTCTTGGATGAGTTCGAGTCGTTTAAGGAACTATCTGCGCACATGGATTCCAATAACTGGTTTGCAGTATTATAGGATAAACGTTTATCTAAAAAAAAAAATTTAAGAAAAATTAATAACCAATGGCAGGATAGGAAAAACTATTATGATTGACTATTTTTTTACCGTTGCAAAGATCCACAACCGTCCTCTCGCCCTCCATCCTCTCAAAAACCCTCGCCGAACCATCGTCCATAAACCCTAACTGCTCATCCTCGACTTGCTCCTCCAAAGAACCCCTCTTAGAACTCATCTGAGACCCTCTCAAAATTCCCCCTTTAATCGAACCTCTTTCAGAACCCCTTGGTGAACTTCTAGGGCTATCCACGCCTCTTTCAGAACCTCTAGGCGACCCTGTTCTCGTAGAATCACTGTCGTAGCCACTTTCATCAGTCGGTCTGAGGGCACGATTCGAAGGAACCCCATTATTTGAGGATGCTAAAATGCCGTTGAGAACCGCACAAAGATCGTCGACTGATAGGGGAGTGTTTGTGGCGGATGAGGTTCCTGGTGTTTGGGCGACTACTGGAGCGCTGTGGCGGTGGGAATTGTTGAAGTAACGGTTGGCGTTTTGGTTCTCCTCCTAATAATAATAAATAGAATAATAAAATAGAAGAATAGAATAGGGTAATAGAATTATAAAAAACTAGATGACCCGACAGACGTTGTCCTGTACCCATGTCTACAATTTTTTAATATAATATACTAATATTTACCGTTCAGTTAAAAATAATAATTATTGTTTTTTAAATTACTCCTAACGCCAAAATGCATATACATTTATAATATGAGCGATGTTAAATGTAGAACTGCTTTAAATAAAACGATGAGTCTCAATTCCCACAATATAGTGGAAATTGAAGTCTTTTAAACGGTATAACATAATTATAACTATAACATAACACTGGTACTTCTTGTTGGATTAAATTAATTTAATTTTACATTATTTAAGATATCCAAAATTGCATCTTAAACTTCTAATCGATATCGTGAGGGCCTAATTGTATGTATTCATCTTTACTTTCCCATTTGTTGTTATAAAGTGAAATTGATTAGTAATTTTTAGAAAGATTAGTAAAAGATGCAAAGTAATTATATATTGAAAATAAACTATATTGAAAATTTAATATCCGAATCTTGTGTTGGCGCCCCCTAAGGCGTGCGATCGTATTTTTCGCATGCATCGCATTAAAGGTAGGACCGGCCCTGATTAACACTTAATTTCATATTTTAAGTGAATTAATTTGTCATATCCTGTTTCTATGTGTATCGTTCAATCTGCCATACATATATTTTAATTTCTGGTAGGGTTTGTCGTTTCTCAAAAACCGTTTTTTTGACGAAAATTATGAAATTCGAAAACCGGTTTTTATTGTATAAATGGAAAACGACAAAAATACTAGATGGAAGCAAGCGTTTTGACACTTGGAATCATATCGGTTCGATAAAATTTGGAATCATTATTATTATTATTTCAATGAATATATTAGTTTAGATCAATGCGACTTCTTGTTGAAGGAGTGAATTGCTCTACTCAAATCTAAAAAAAAGAGTTTTAAGCCCAGAAGCCACAAATAAAAGAACAAAATTTCCAGAATTATTATATCACACTTTAGTTCGGTTGCAAGTGAGAAACTATTTTCTATTTCGGAAAATGTGTCGAATTTTTTTGAATAAACTAAGGACACTTCTGAATAACAAATCGATAGTCGTGCTCAGCTTTTAGCAATCATATTTCATTTAAATAAAAAATAATTAAATATTTGAAATTAATTAATTAAAATTGTTCGTAGAATAAACTTGGGGTTTTGTTTAATTATTTCTAGAATTAAGACTTACATTAACAATTATGTATCAATATGTATCTATTTTTTTTATTTAATTAAAAGTTAAGTTTTTTATTTAAAAATGTATTATTATTATTTATTCAAACTCTATTTCACTATCATAAAAATATTTATAATCTATATGTGAAAATGATGCATGAATAACGAATAATCATTTTCAAAGTCATTTGATTCACATCAACTATTATTTCTTTGTTCTACTAATTAAAATTAAAATTTGTTTACTTTTCATAAAATAGAGCATTAAATAAATTCTGTCAAAAACTGTTTTAAATCACACTAAATTTGCCGATATTTTTTGTTATTACAGAATTATCGAGCAAAAATTGATTTTTTATATAAAATTCGAAAACCGGTTTTCTGGAAAATTTAAATTCGAAAACCGGTTTTCTAAATGTGTATAAACCCTAATTTCTGGCACATCTCTGCTGCCTTTCGGCAATAATAATGTAGACATTTCATTTTTCTTATTCATAATCATAAATTTACTTTACATATTCTAATATTGTCTAGGTTCATAAGTAAATTGAAATTTTTGACAGATGACAGTTTTCATTTGTTTTCAATGCAAACGATGTCGTTTTTTTGTATATTGCACATACATCCCAGTACTTTATAAACACATACATTCTAGAAAATTTCCTTAACAAACTTCAGAAAGATTTATCAAAATCCACTGATTTACCAAAATCATTATCCAAATCATCATAATATGAACTTTATATAATAGCAATAAAGCTCAAATTGATTCTATGTTTTAATTAGAAAACGTTTGTATGTGAAAAAGAAAAGGGCTGTTTTTAGCGTTTTCTCGGCAATTATTCGATATTTTCTCGCCGTAAGAACCGTCCTTGAACTTGAACGAACATTTTAAAAAAAGAATTGTTCAAATTGGTCCAGGCGTTGTTGAGTTATGCGTTTACCAACGCATTTTGCGATTCATTTTTATATATAAGAAAATAACAGAAACTAAAAGGGATTTGCAATATTGTTTGCAACTTACTCGCAGAACTCCTAGTCGTTTATTAACACCAGATAAAGTAGCACCTTTGTCGCCAGCACCATTTCGAACAGTATCCTTAAAATTCTGAATCAACTCATCAAGACTTCGATTACATCCTTCGGGCCTACACAAAAGCAAATACTCCAAAAGTTGCTTTTCGTTCAACTCGTACGTGTTCGGTGATTGATTTTGTTGAGTATTTAGACTTTTGCGTTTATTTCTTAGAACTGTATTGACGCCAACCTGAACAAAAACAAATCACACCAATAAAAATTATATAATCAACCCCAAAGATTTTAGTAAATCTTTACCTTGCTGACTATATCATCAAATCTTTTCTTGAACTCCTGACCATCCGATTTATCCTTTTGTCGCCCGAATAAGTTTCTGATACTCTCGACTCTGGATACTCGTTTCTGGTTTTGGGAACTGATGTCATCGTTGCTACCACCACCTAGTAATAACAAAAATGTATTGGATTTAAAATCCACAAACATGATCAAAAAAAGAGTTATTTGCTACTGTGCAAGATGGCATTTAAGTAAAAATAAATACATCATATAACAATTTTAAATAATGTTTATTACTAGTAATACGGTAACACTCGCGATGCACACATTTATTAGTGTCGACCATCATACATATTTATATAATGATAAATTATAAATTATATATTTATAATAGCATTAAAAATATGTATAATATTTAAAAACAATAATGTAATTAAAGTCATACTTCAAATATGACATGATCGGTTTGTCATTGTATTTAGCATTTAGAAATAAATGCTTATTAGAGGAATGAAGTAATTGATTAATAACTTCTTCGGTTACACAGTGGATTATGTTAACCCTTCTTTGCATGGCGATGGAAATTTCAATCATAATATTTAGTCAGCAAAAAAATTCTAAAAACCTTTGTACTGTAAATTTGTTGTTGCTTTCAATATTTTAAGCGATTTTTAAAAAAATAGCAAACGTCACTGTTAATTACCAGAACTACAACTTGTCATTTCGCTGTTTGTTGTGACTGCAAAAAAGGAGCGAGTTCTTAGTTTGTTATAAGGAAGTAAACAAAGATATAAAATACAGTAAAAGTGAAAATGAGTGAGAAAAAGATTTGTTTTCATGTTTTTCTTGTTTTATGTACGATCTATATCAAAACACTATGAATAAAGTTCTCAAAACTATGTGATGGAAATTTACATCACTATGCAGTAGTTCCACTTGTAATGTATGGCAAAGATTTTTTTGTAAATGTTTTTTTTTTTGTGTTGTTTTTTGAAGAAACAGATTATAATTTGTATAAGTTCTTTGGTATATTATTCTACATGTCAGTAATCAAAATTCCTGGCACAAATTCATACTGGTCGCCGAAGTTCGAACAATAAACATATGGGAGAAATAGATCTCATGGATAGCTTTTTGGGCAAAAATCATATAACAAAGAGGTCTCAAAAGTGGTATTTGCATATTTTTTTATATATTTGATCGAGCTATTATAAACTCTTGGAATGTTTATAAAAAATGCTCAAGAAAGAGGTGAACGTAAAAAGAGTCTGCTTACAATGGGCCAATTCAGTAAATGTGATATTTGTGCTTAAATAAAAATAATGGTTGTTTTTTAAATTATTATAAAGAGTAAAGAAGATAGATTAAACAATATATTTTATATAGTTCTGAGCTAGATATGTGGCAATGCATGATGTAAATTTCCATCATATTGATTTTTACATAATACATACTTCTATTTACATTAGGATTTTTATAAATATTTTTCCTTTAAACTAGAGTATTAATTACATCACCCTGATTTATTTTATTAAAATAGAAAAAATCATGCAAAGAAGGGTTAAACAACGCCTAAACAAATATTGTTTTCACAATTTCATGTAATTGTGTTTGAAGAACTTCATGTAATTAGAATTAACATACATTCATTGAGTGCTTGTATTTTTTTTACTTTTTCGCTGGCGATATAATTTCATTCTTTGAACAACTGCAATATCTGTCTTGCCTAAAAAATATTTTCCATTTCAATAACTTCAAAGATTTATAGAAACTACGAATAATATAGAAATAATTTCTAATCAATAAACTTACGTTTAGTACACGGCACGAATGTTAAATTTGTTTCATTATTTTCAAGGAACCGGGCAAAATATTCTTCGGATTCAGGCATTTTTCATTAAATCATAATTTGTACTACGATGTAACTTTAAAATGTTTATTTATCTATGCCGATTTATTTGTTGATATTCTCTCGCATACAACGGCAGATCTCTATTCACATACACGACGACTAATCACAATCGACCCGTATAGAAATGATTTCATCGAGAGCGAATGACGAATTGTTGGCACTCGACTCGGCCGTAACGCACTTCCATTGCATTTGTACGGATTTACACCCTAGTCGCGCCTAAAGAAGTTTTGCTTCTAAAACTCAGAAATTTTCATAACATACCAGAATTGCTCGATAGTGAATATTGTTGCCTTCTGCCGCCACTGGATGATGATAAATTGCTTTGTAGAGTGTTGGCTCTATGTTCTACGCAGGAGTCAGGGGTTGTAGGAATTTCTGATGAATCACTTCTTCTCAGGACGTCCCAACGTCTGCTGACTTTTTTGGACCAAGTTGTTAGACCTAAATTATAATAAACTGATGAATAAACTAGGTACTAGGCAAGGTACTTTAGAAGGTTTTAAAAACCGTTTTTTGGCGAAAATTATGGAATTCGAAAACCGGTTTTTTAGTGAAAAAGTCGGTTTTCACTGTATAAATGGAAAATGACAAATATAGCCAAATATAGAAGATAGATGAAAGCGTTTTGATCCTTGAAATCATATCTGTTCAATAGCATTTGATATCTTATCAGCCTGCAATGGTTCCCCGAAAGGTTTTGTATATATTAATTTAGATTTTTTTACCAGTGTATATATTAATTTAAATTAGTGTGACTTCTTTTTGAAGAAGTAACTTCCTTATTCAAACTTAAAAAAAAGCGTTTTAAATCGTGGAAGTCACAAATAAAAGAATAAACAACTTAGAATTATTATATCAGGCTTTAGAAACAATTGAGCATAATTTGGTCGTGAGTATTATATGAGAGTATTTTCTATATCAGTAGCAATTCGATAGATGTTCTCATAAGGAGAATCCGCGCATTGCCCGTCTCGGATTTTGATGAAACTTGGCACAATGGTAGATTTAGTGCCCAAACTGACCGTGGTAAAATATTAGAGGCCTATGAAAAGCGGTTTAATCATAAAAATTAATTAAAGTTTGCATTTTAGCAGCGCGCGTCATGCATAGCTTGCAATGCTTTTTCTTATTAATAGGAGATTGGCCGAGTGACTTTCGTCGTGGAATTCTAATTTTTGCTCCGCGGTTCAATTCCCGTAAATCCTCGTAAATTCCATTCCTGTAAATTTTTATTTTGATATTACTTATAAAACCTACGACCATATAAATGTTAAGTGATTTCTGAAACATTAAAAATTTGTATTAATAACGGCAATAATACGGAAAAAGAGATAAAATTTATTTTCATATAAAAACTATGTTCAAATTTACAAGTGTGGGGATTGTATTATACTTATCGTAAAATAAGAAAAACATAAAAACTGCAGTGAATAAATTTTATTAATAACGATTTCAAGCCATATGTCAAAAAGAATATTTTTTTATTAATATTAGATTCTTGGGCTAAATTTGGAAATAAATTATATCTGTTCTTCCATATTATTGTCGTTAATAATACAAAATTTGTTTCAGGAATCACTTAACATTTAGTTTTTTGAAATCATATTTTATTAAACAAATAAAACAATTAGAATGTTTAAAACTAATTAATTAAAATTGCTCGGAATAGGCAATACCCGAGTTTAGCTTAATTGTTTTAAAACTAAAATTGATATCAACAAGTTTGTATCAACATGTATCTAATATTTTTTTATTTCTTTTTTTAATTTATTGAATGTTTTTTATTTAAGAATGAATTATTTTTATTTATTCGAAATTATTTTCTTTCTTATATCTGAAAATGATGCATGAATAACAAATAATTATTTTCAAAGTTCTTTAATCAAGATAAACTATTATTTTTTAGTTCTACTATTTAAAATTAAAATAATTTTGTTTACTATCTATAAAATTGAACAATAAATAAATTCAGTCAAAAACTGCACTAAATTACACTAAATTTGCGGATAAATTACAGAATATTCGAGAAAAAATTTATTTTCTATATTAAATTCGAAAACCGGTTTTCTGAAATGTCGGTTTTTGTATAAACCCTAGTAAGAAGAAACAAATATTGGAATTTGGTGATATTAATAGGAAATTGAAGTAAAAAGTGGAATGAAGATAAAAGTTGGTGAAAAAGCGAGAATTGAAGAAAATAAATAAGAAAAGAGAAAAATTAAGAAGAATATAGAATACGATATATATATATATATATATAGAATGTAAATAAATAAAGATGTTGTAGGTGGCTAAATGCTCAGAGTAAACGAGGTTTTAAAAAAAAAAACTATTAGGCACCACTACCAGGCAAGGTACTTCAAAAGCAAAATATTTTTACTGCCGTACCTTTTTTGTTAGACCTCTCCGCACTAGTTTCCCTACTCGCAGGTTCGCTCTCAACCATTTTATGCCTGGAATCATGTCCAAATTTACCAACATCGCTTCCAACATCGCTACTAAAACTGGCATTAGTATTCCCACTAAATCCTCCTCTCCTCAACAGCATTCCTTCACAATCCTGGTGGTTCTGAGGAGTCTGCTCATTTTTCCTTGGCAACAACCTGCTGGCAGTTGCTGATAAATTGGAGTCACTTACACCTCGGTGTGAGGCGAAATTGGTGTCAGAGGATGATAAAGGAGTTTTGAATGTTGGCGAGGACGTTTCGGCGTCGATCTGTGTCGGCTCGATGACTCGTGGCTCTTCTATGTGGGACAGGCTGACTAGCTGTGGCGACGGGTCGGAGCACCTTCGTTTGAAGAGACGCATCTTGGTAGGTAGATGGATTTATCTGCAAGATATTGAATGAAATTTAATTGAGTTTAAAAAACCAAAATAATTACACAAATATCAAATTTTAATTTAAAAAAATGACAATATATAAAATTTTCCCCCTAAATTTAGACAAATTCTACTCTAAATTTAGACAAATGTTCTCTATAAATTTAGACAAGTGTCCTCTATAAATTTAGACAAATGTCCTCTATAAATTTAGACAAATGTCCTTTATAAATTTAGACAAATGTCCTCTATAAATTTAGACAAATTCTACTCTACTCTAAATTCAGACAAATTCTACTCTACTCTAAATTCAGACAAATTCCACTCGAAATTTAGACAAATTCCACTCGAAATTTAGACAAATTTCATTGTCTCCAAATGTTGAAATCTCTTTTACTATTTTTTTTAAATTTCATAGATAAATATACACAAAATACAGCATTTAATCGAAATATTGACACAAACATAATGTCCATAACTGTCCATGTGAAAAACATGCGACTCGTTAATTGTCAATGCGAACGCAAGGCGAACTGGAAATTGCAATCGTTTGAAGTCAAACGGAAGACCAGTCGGAATCATTGGTATGTCACCAAATCGCCAGCATTGGTTTTGATTTTCTATACCCTCACTTTTAAAAATATAGATTATATTGTATTCTGATTGTTAAAACTAGCAATAATAAAAAAGCAATACATTTTAATATTTCTTTTATATATATTTTGTATATATTTGAATTACCCGTGGGTCTATATAGATGTATTAATTATTTAATAATTCAGACAAATTCTACTCTACTCTAAATTTAGACAAATTCCACTCGAAATTTAGACAAATTCCACTCGAAATTTAGACAAATTCCACTCGAAATTCAGACAAATTCCACTCGAAATTCAGACAAATTCCACTCGAAATTCAGACAAATTCCATTCCAAATTCAGACAAATTCCACTCCAAATTTAGACAAATTCCACTCCAAATTTAGACAAATTCCACTCCAAATTTAGACAAATTCCACTCCAAATTTAGACAAATTCCACTCCAAATTTAGACAAATTCCACTCCAAATTTAGACAAATTCCACTCTAAATTTAGACAAATTCCACTCCAAATTTAGACAAATGTCCACTCCAAATTTAGACAAATGTCCACTCTAAATTTAGACAAATGTCCACTATAAATTTAGACAAATGTCCACTCTAAATTTAGACAAATGTCCACTCTAAATTTAGACAAATGTCCACTCTAAATTTAGACAAATGTCCACTCTAAATTTAGACAAATGTCCACTCTAAATTTAGACAAATGTCCACTCTAAATTTAGACAAATGTCCACTCTAAATTTAGACAAATGTCCACTCTAAATTTAGACAAATGTCCACTCTAAATTTAGACAAATGTCCACTCTAAATTTAGACAAATGTCCACTCTAAATTTAGACAAATGTCCACTCCAATTTAGACAAATGTCACTCTAAATTTAGACAAATGTCCACTCTAAATTTAGACAAATGTCCACTCTAAATTTAGACAAATGTCCACTCTAAATTTAGACAAATGTCCTCTATAAATTTCGTCAAATTCCACTCCAAATTTAGACAATTCACTCCAATTTATACAAATTCTACTCTAAATTTAGATAAATTCGTGTTAATTAGTTTTAACCGGTTTTCGAATTT